TGCCTCTGGCTCCAGTGTTATCAGCAGCTTGTCTTCCTTTCCTTTGGTCACAATACCAGCCTGCGAGTGAACAGAAAAATCAGGCCTTTACATCAGAAATAACACTGTACTGCAGATATCCCACCTCTAGATGTTCTCAGTGTGTCACCTGAGTCGCAGCTTCTCTCATGAACTGCTTTGCTGAAGGATCCCAGATTGCAGGTACAGTCAGCACCCAGGTGAAGTCAGACGCTATAAACTTCCTCCCAGATGTGTTCTCTGCAATGGTTTTCAGTGCATCTTCCTTCAGGTATCTCAGTGCTTCTGTAAACACCGTCAAGGCCTTCATTGACTCCCCATTTGCAGCTTTGATTGTCAGATCACTGTTGACTTCCTGGTGGTGATTGACTGGATATTAGTTCATACAGTAACTTAACAGTGTTTCTGAAGTCATACAAAACATGAATGTTTGGGTCAAACTAAAGCAACAGTTCACTTATGAGACAGTATTCTCATGCAATTTTAATTATTGTCCTGCAGTCTTTGTGTTACTATGTTGTGTCAAGTGGAGTCACAGATTGACATCCCAGGAGCAGCCATTAGCAGAGATACTGGTATGAATCCGGTCAAATAAAGAATATATATATATATATAGATAAGAAAATAAAGCAATTTTGCTTAAGTTTGAAGTTGATTCAGACATTGCAATGATTAAAAATGATTCTTTGTAACCAGTAATTCTAACTGCCTAGTTGAGAAAGGGAAGTACGTTTCTAACTGTGTAGCTAACAAGAAGAAGGATTAAACCGGATGTGGCCAACACCAAAGACTGTCTTGACACTGAGCACGTCTGCAGTTTCCTTATTAGGTGTTGTAGGAAGTTCAGAACAATGTCTGAGTGTTGAAAACTATGAATCGTGCTATTGAGCTAACTGAGTGTGTGTGCTACAGTTTAAGAAAGTGTGTTTGGGAGAATACATGTGTGTCTTTGGGGAATCAGAACAGCATAAAAATGAGAAACAGAGACTCTTTACACGGAGTTCGTCGTGGACATCGCTAAAGTTGGATATTATCTGATTTTGTCCAGGATAGTGGATTCTGCTCTACTAAAAGAAGAGCCCCGATCGGTCTGCAATTATGCTTGAGATGGAAAAGTAGAATATTCTCTTTGCTCTTCAGCAATAACAGAAGGAGCGGCCTGACTGGGCCACCCAGCCAATGCTAGGAAAGTCTTGGACTTTCCTCAGCTCACCCTGCGACCTTTCACCAACGTTTGAGAATATTGGGACTTTCACCTCAACCAACCAAAAGAAATATAACCGATCATTGTAAGACTGAATCAGAATCAGGACTGTTCTACTCCTACTATTTGATGGAGAATTCTCACTGGATTATTGGCACTCTGTACAGGGTTTTTCACTTCCTTTAAGAGATTCTACCGGACTCAGAGCTTAGTTCTGTATTATTAGAATTTTAAACATATTCCTGGGGTTTCCTATCCTAACCTCTAAATTACGCCCCAGCAATTCACCAAGAGCCAGGTCACTGAGAGGAAAGCTGCCGTTACCAACGTGACTGATAGGATCATGAGACTATGAAGGCTATTTAGTAGAGGTAACTATCAGAGTAAGTGGGGTAGGCATTTGGGTGGAGGCAGTTAGAAGCTAGGCGAGTTTCCTTGACTCCAGTTTAACCTGTTCTACTGAACCTGTTAGGCCTCAGTCCGATAGGCAGACAAAATCTAACCCTAGTGCCGTCTCAGTGTCTCAGTCTCAGTGCCGACTGAGACTGACCAACAGTTGTGGTGAGTTGGACCTTTTAAGGCACAGTGGATTTAAAGAGGTATTATACGTATGTTTGTTGGTTTGATCAGAAAATACAGAACATTCTATAAACCAGAGTACTTGTAATAATCTATTTAATAAGATTAATTTACTCACTTTGCCATAGAGGGACATCTTGAAGCAGTTGAAGAATAACTTGTTTCTAGCTTCATCACCCTTCATTTTACCATAAACCAGTTTGGCTTCATAACCAAACTTGAGAAATTCTTCTTGTTCATTGAACAGAATGCAGGTTGGAGTCTTTACCGTCTGCAGTCCAACCTCTTCACCCCAGGTCTTTAAATAGGGATCAGGTTCTTCCTCTCTGGATGTCATACTGTAAGCATATCCACTGTATGTAGTGCCAAAGTCTATGGCTATTATGAATGAGTTGTCCATTGTAGAAACAGGTCCAGGTAGTGAAGGTGAGGAAGAGAATGAATGTAATAAAATGCAGCCGGTGCAGGATATGTATTATCTGAGCAGGAGGCGGCACTCACCGAAGGTTTGCCTCCCAGTGACTTCAAACTACTACTACTACTACTACTACTACTACTACTACTACTGCTGGGATCACACTGACTCAACACATTCAGTTTGGGCAGGGCGAGGACAGAGCGACAGCAAAATAAGACCACGTAACGGCAACTTCAGGTAAAGACATCAGATCATTTTCAGAAATGACACTTTGACCTGTCTACAGATTACAATACCTGCATTGTACAAACTATTTAAGATGAAACAGGAAAAAGACAAAAATTAAACAAAAACAAAAGTTATGTTTCAGTGAAAATGTTGGTTAGCAGGTTTCTGTCAGGACTCTAGGAAAGTTGACTTTTGCATTTCCTCCCCTCTACTAAAAGGTAGTTTAACCTTGAACAGCAAAGCACTGGCAATGGTTAACTATGAGACATAGAGAGGAGGAATTCAATTAATTCTATATGTCATGTGTTGATGTTGGAATTGAATCTAGTTTAAGCTGACATTGAAAAATCGATTGTGTGACAGAATCTGACTGTTTCTGCAGTTTTACTCCATCAGTTCTTCTTTGTACACAGTTTCAGAAGTTCTCAGTGTTTCCATAAAGACATGAGACAGCTGTGAAGTTTTCCCAGTATTCAACAAGGCACAAACACTGATGGATGTAACTTGAAAGACAAATTATGAAATATCTAGCCTTACATTGTGACAACATGCTCTGACATATTTAAGCAGATTAACTTTTGATTATGTTTTGTAACAGAGTGACAAAGACGGACTGTTTCAACCAACAACAAAATTAAGAGACCAGGCAACATTTTCCTGATCTGACTTCAAGGAACCACGTTGAACATGTTTAGCTCAACACACAACAACACCTGGATGGTTCAGTGTCTAATACTTTATTAATGAATCTGTGATTTGAAGGGATATAATCAGACTAATAACTGATGATGTTTTTAAACAGAATCAAACAAATGTAAGAGGAGCTTAAATATGCCAGGTAACATCTTCTGATCTTACTATTAAAATCATGTGTAGCAGGATTTAAACCTAGTATAAATGACACAGTGTGGACACAATAACACCTGGATGGTTCAGTGGAACTAACAGTTAGTTCAACCTGCTTGATCCATTCAGGTCCTTCTGGTATTGATGTCAATGATGGTTCAGTCAGTGCATCTTGGATTAGCTCAATAGCTGTGAGGATTATTTAATGCTCCATGTTTATTCCACAGAGTTCATCTGGAACGCATACAGAAAGAAGTGGAATCATTCATACAAAGGCAATGTACATTCAATGATCGACTATGTGACTGAAACTGATCTTTTCTACAGTTTTACTCCATCACATGTAGGTTTTCTTTGTATACGTTGGCAGAAGATGTCAGTGTTTCCATACAGACGAGACAGCTGTGNTGGACTGTGGGAGGAAGCCGGAGAACCCGGAGAGAACCCACGCTGCACGGGGAGAACATGGAGACTCCACGCAGAAAGACGCGAACCGGCGACCTTCTAACTGCGAGGCAATGGTGCTAACCACTGAGCCACCTTGCAGCCCCATTACAAAAAACCCTGGCATTGAAATATGCGCCATTTTGGATAAGCCGTATATGGTATTTTACACAATATTTTACAGACTTAAAAGTCCAAAATATAACATCAATTAATCATGCTTAGCTTGATTTGAAAAGATCATAATCTTTTTTTAAAAAAGCATTAATTTTAACTATTTGCAGAGAAAAATGTGACATCTAAGTGCATCAGTCACAAGGCTGGAAAAGCTAATGAAGCAAATAAGGAGAGGGTTGTCACAACACATCAGTATTTATGGAAACAGTGATATTTAAAAAATACACACATATATATATATATAAATTTAAATAAATGACATTCAACAATACAGATATGACAACACTGCAAACCATTAAATAACTACCTGGTTAAAAGCCCAACATAGAGCAACATACAGTACAGTTACAGACTCTCCTGAGGCAGGAAGGTACACAACATTACAGTACGTGATGCTTCCACATATCTATGTCTTTGCATATGCACTGTAAAATTCTGTATTTATATCTAATATGTATCAGTGACTTCCACAGACAGCTGACTGATCGGTTCATTAGCCAGCGGATCTGTGCAGTTAATTTGACCCATGTAAGCGCAACAACGATCCGGTGGTGACAGCAGCTCACATTTAGGCTGGATGATGAAAAATATCCAGTACGACATCCAACGGAGGCATCTAAACATCTCCCCATATGTCTCATGTTAGATGAAAGTCAAAACCCATCAATACAGCCACTCAGCTGAACATTAAGGGGCAAAGTAAGAAAAATAATATATTCGACATTACCCTGTTCTCTTTTTGGAAAATCAGCCAGTTGTTTAAAGAATCCAAGTAATACATTCCTTTTCATACAGAGGTACTTTTATCTTGGTTTTGCCACTATTTCACAAAAACACCAACCCAGTACATCTATCAGAGGAAGCACGTGGCGTTTATAGCGGGGCATTTAATTATGTTAGCTTCCTGCAGGGCACGATTTTGTACAGAAAATTGCTCTAATTATCAGCTATTGGCAGCATCAATTTAGAAGTTATTATTACCAGTTATTATAATCAGCAGCCAGTGCAGTTGTAGCAGCGTTGTGTTAAATTTACTTTTCTTGTTTGTTGTTTGCAAACACGGTTACTGAAAACATGAACGCTTACCCATAAAGCATGAGCAGGGTGATGAGTGGTTGGAGGTTGGCCGGTGAGGTGTAGCACTTCTTGTCGAAAAAGATGAAAATTTCCACCACCATCGCTGCGCTGATGGAGTAATTAACCTGGAGAAAGTCACAGAGAAAAGTTTACACGAGCTGCTATCGCATCCCCTCGGTGGTGTTGTCATGCCTGGCATTGGCACGCTCTCAGAAGGCAACCATACCATGTCCCACAGAAAGTTGGCCATCCAGTAGACCAGAGGACTGACCCCGCTGACAAACTGCAGGTGTTTGGCCTGAGTGACCCTCTCCTGGATGAGATAGAGGACGAAGCTGGCCGGGACGAAGGACATGGCAAAGATGACGCAGATGGCCACCACTGCATCCACTGATGTCGTTAGACTGGGGGGAAGGACAGAGAAGTGGGTGAGTTTCTGTGAGCCAATGTCACAGAAAATGTCTGTATTTGCTGTTTTTTTAGCGATGATAGCTGTGAGCGTTGCTTATTAACAAATGTTTCACTTTGCACTCCTGGGTTCTTCTTCTCCTTTCAAGGAAAAGTTTGTGAATGTAAAATATAAAGTAATAATCACTCACACGCTGATCTCAGAGAGCTGCTCTTTGGTGAGGTTCAGAGGATGGTTGATGGCAGTGATTCCATATTCATCCAGGTTAGCTCCTTTGGGCAGGTTTGCACGGAGGATGGCGTTGTTGGCCACATTCATGAAAGACACCATGGCATGCCAGCCCTTATTGTTATACCACACCTAGGAAAAGCATTCGTGTTAGGTGCCATCTGTAGACTACAACACCTACTGGGGTTTGAGAGGATACTATGCGTGGTCTATTATATCGTAATACAACACAAGGCCACATACAGAGCTTCCTTTAACTGACCTTGACATTGTTTTGAGTCTCCATGTACCTGAGGAACATCCCTATATCCTTTAGTGTTTGTCTGGAGTACTCGCCCTGCAAATAAACATTTGTGGGCCAATTACAAAATGAACCATGAAGAGCAAGGTGAGGTAACAGAGATAACTGTGGAGACACAGAGGAAAAACACGTGATATTTGGTTTTAGAGTCTCTACCCCAGTAACGTTGAGCAGTCGTCCCAGCTGAGCCGCAAAATCCTGGATGGTCTTTGGCTGCAGATCTAGAAGAGGGAGCTGTCCTCCCACTGATATGCCTCCATACCTACACACCACAGAGAACAATTCACATGTATAGAGCTCTCCTGCACTCCACCTGCTGCACACCAAAGCTGTACTACCCCATGATAACCACTAGAGGGAGAACTGCACCGCTACACAAAACACTTCCTTCCATTAATTATACTTCAAAATGCACAAAGATACCACAATTTGGACATGAATGTAATTATATATTTGATAATTACATATATTAGACAGATGCAAATTAGAAATTACCTTTGCTCATTCACCCAGTATTTGCTTTTCAAGCTGGAAAGAGAACACACGCATTAAAAAGTATTTAAACACCACAAACTTTTAATATCTTTTTTGAAATAATTCACAGTTTTGTCCTATTAAATGAAAAGTACTGGGCTTTTTTTGTTTTAAAGTACTTTAAAATAATACAGAACAAAGAAACCCTATGTTAATGAATGCTGCTATTTTATGATGTGCAGTCGTTCACTGCATTTGATCAAAGTTGTGTACAGTTTTTGCACCATTTCTTTTTGAAGTGGTACAAAAATTCCATACCTGGTTCTGATGAGGCTGGGGTAGGTCTTCACCAGGTAGTCAGAGATGTTTCTACCTGTTAGGTCCATAAGAACATCTCCTGTCGACTGGATCCTCTGATGAACACAACAGCACACAGTGTACATTAGACAGTCATCAGCACTGCTGGGCCTAATGTGGGTGAAGAAGTGGAAGTGATCCCACTTAGAGATTTAAGTCGTGCGCTTGAGCAGAAGGATTTTGTGTACACAGCGTGGTCGTGCTCAGTATCAGTTACTCAGCCTACCTGTGGAGGTGGCAGGCCTCCAGCTCCCTCAGGACACACAGGCAGCATGGTGAGTTTCCTGGGTGTGCTGCACTGACACTCCGGAGACGGTCGAAGGGAGGTCCACTCCGGACCGGCCAACATGTCTATCAGGGCAGGATTAACTAAGGGCATCTCCCACTCTGTGGTGATGTTGTTACACGGGAAATCTCTACAAGCAGGAGAAATTGACTCATGCTGTCAAACAAAGCAGTGCAGCGGAAAGTCTGGGAAACAAATGGATTTAGAACTGTGAGGGGGCTACTTACTCAAGTGGTTCCTCGGCCATGCAGCGAGTCCCGAAGCCAGGCTTGTCCAGCAAAACCTCAGCAAAATATCTCAACTGAGCATCCATAGGACGCTCATTACTGCAACATACAAATTAATAAAACACAGAATTACAAAAAGTAGAAGATTTTGCAAAATGTGAGACCATTTAATATTGTTCTTTGAGCCACACAAACGTTTACTATTATACTGATCTCTCAAGTGGATCAGTCATCTCTGAGGAGATAAATGACAAAAGGTGACCTGATACCCACCTGAAGAAGGTGTACTGCCGCCCATACATCCAGGGGGTGAGGGTCAGACTGGGATACTCCCCAAAAGGTGGAACGATGAGAGTGAATGTCAGCGCGAGGAAAATAAAACTGGCGGGCAGCACAATCTAACAGAGACAGAGAGACAACTGGGATTCAAGACAGAAACTCTAAAAGTCATATGGAGGCCTATGAGGGACAAACATATGCAGACTGCAGCGTGTTCGATCTCAGCAATGATATATAAAATTCAAGTTGACAGCCAAAATGTTGTTTTTAATTATATTTAATACAGGTAATGCAAAACATGTAACATAAAGTTAAAATATAAATGTCTTAGGATTATTAGGATGCTCAGGTTACCTGGGCAATGAAGTCTTTGTAGGAGCGTGTGGCATGATGCAGCCTCTTGATCAACAGAGCAAAGAACTGCTTGATGATCAGACAGATGCCTCTGACCTGGTAGGATCCTCGGCCTGCCCCGCCGTCAGAGGTATCACATGGACTCTGACCGTTGGACTCTGCAATTAGAGCTCAGGTCAAGTTGGCAGAGCCTCACCGGCACTGGTGGAGTCAAAGCTAAATTAGAGAAGCCAGCCAGCCACAAGCATGTTCAGCCTCCAAAAGCATTTGCCAGCAGAGCTCTACGAGCGTTTAGCAGTCATCATCTTGACTTTTACGGTTTACCAGAGAAAGCTCTGGAACAAATTCAATACGAACATATCATTTGGCCGCATGTCACTAGTTGGAAAGCCCAAGCTGAAGCTTTGCACCGCGTTACGTTGTTGTCAGGAAAAACACTTCTACCAAAATATTTTCAGAAATAGATAAGAAAAGTTTTAAAGAATAGTGTTACATCTTGGGAAAGTCTTGCCAAGAGTTAGATAAGAAGACGGATTGCATTTTCTGCTTCGTACAATAAACATGAAGTCATCCAGATGCTGGTTAGTTTAACACAAAACAGTGGAGTATGGTTGTGTAGCAAGGTTTCAAAATATATATACAGCTATCTTCTCTTATCAGGAATGCCGCCACTTTTCCCAGAATGTCAATTTATTCTTTTATTTTCTCAGTAAACCTTCACAAAGACATTCACAAGTAACTGATGTGTGTTTTCCTGCAACAACAGCAGCAGCAGCAGCAGCCGCCCTGAGCTCTGAGCTGAAAGCCTCGTTCACCTTTTACTGGTTCCATATCAACAGCCACTCTGTTGAGTCCACACAGACTACTGCGAGAGATCTGTTGCATTGATTTCTTATCTGAGACGGTCAAAGAATGGATACAAGGATACGACACAGATGATCAGACTGAGAAAAGAGGGCAACAACGGGCACAACTACACATTCAGACACACAATGAGTCAATAGGAAGAGAAAGGCATGCGCTGTTTTTCTTCTTTCTTACCTTGAGTACATTTCTTGTTGGTTGTATTCCCATCTGCAGTGACCTTTAGGAAGATCTACAAGAAGACAGATTGTCAGTACCCGAGATTAACAGACGCCTTCTTTACAAACATAACAAAGCCCCATGAAACAGAGAAAACAGGCAGTGACTGTATGACAGATTGCCTCAATACAACTCCTATTTTCTTTTCGTTAAGCACAGTCTCATTTTGAAGTCCTGGGACAGCAGTGCTCATTTAAAAATGTAGATTTCTTTTTACATTTTTCCTAATAATTGCTGCGACCGTTTATTCTGGCGACGCTTCCACGCACCTCCTCCAGCGACGTGTCGGACACACCGAAGCTGCTGAGGCCGATGTCCACGAGGGTTTCCTCCAGCTCCCTGAAGAGGCTGGCGTAGGCCCGGGGCTGGAAGTCACGATTCGGCAGCAGATAGGTGAGCTCCTGGCCGATGACCTCGATCAGGCGAGCTTGCGGCACGTGGTGATGGATCAGGGCTGTGATCCGGTCCATGTTACCTGGAGGTGAGGGGAAGAAGTCGATTATTTTAACTTTTGTCACAAATGTAATATGCTTTAAATGTGTTTTTGTCCACTTTCCTCTTGATTTCAGCACTTAATTTTGCACACTCCTTTAACTTTCACTGGCAACATGGGAGGTTCAATCAGCTGACACGTTGCTGTACTTTCTTACCGTCACTGGTTCGTGTCATGTGATCTGACTTTATAGACTCCAGTGCTTTATTTTTACTTCCAAAAGCAGAAGAGGAGCAGCGAATAACAGGATATCACATTAAAGTGTAGTATGTACTCTGGCAAAATTCCACGTTGAAATGACTTTTAATAGGGCCATTTATGGCGAACAGTAGCTCAGGGCGAACAGCGAGAACAGGGTGTTTCTAGGTGTGTTGACAGTAAGTGATATAAATAGTGCAAAGGCAGTACAGTACCGTATTCATCAACACGACAATGAGATTATGCTCCATTGTATTCATAATTTGGATAATGAATAGAGTGAAAACAGGTCCAGGGAGGTTGACAACAAACGTGACTTAGCACACCTCTCCCTGACCCCGATACAGTAATGTGACCTTACCATCCATCTGCCTGTCTGGAGCCTGGCTCTCCTCCTGGTCCGCTTTAAACTTGGAGCACTTTGAGCATTTACAGGAACAATCCTCTGTACAGTCACAGCTGGTCTGCAGGAAAAAATGAAACCAGAAGTCATGATTTACTTTTAAATAACTTGAATTTAAACTATTTTTCTCTCCTCGGTGGGTTTTGGCTCTCCCTTTAATCTCACTGGTTATTTAGGGTCAGATAACAGAAATCATTGTTTAAGTCTGTCGTTAAATATCTTAAAATTGAGACATTGAACCTTTTATATTGTCTAGAAAGGACCTTAACTTGGGGTTGTGATTCGTATGCAGGGTTTTAAATCCCAAATCTAAGCATCCTCTTGCCTAAACTGTGTTTTATATACTTATCTGTTCACATAATAAGTTCTAAAGTTAAAAAAAAAAATCCATCTTCAACCAAAATAAATCACTTTCCTTTCAAAGCCACTGCTCTGCACCCTGTAATTACACCATCAAGTGTTTATCTTCAGTAGTTCCCACCTTCAAAGCGTCATGTTTCATTCGTCGTACGAGGGTGAGGTAGAAGCCAGCGCCGAAACAGTTCTTGAGGAAGATGGGGGAACCGCAGCAGTAGAGGCGGCCCTGAGAGATGATGGCCACCCGGTCACTCAGCAGGTCGGCCTCGTCCATGTGGTGGGTGGACATGATCACCGTGCGTCCTGCAAACCAGGCACGGGAGGGATGACAAAGGAATAAAGAGAGACAGACAAGCTGATTCATGTTTTAGGACAGACTTTTCTCTACGAGCTCAATCTGTAAAAGAACACAGCAGGATATAGCTGTAAATATTTAATATAGAGATTTCTGTCCAGCGTGAGGTGTCATACATTCTGTATTGATCCAAGAATCGATGACAGAGCAGCTCCAGTGTGACTGGAGGCATTTGCGATAAAACCTGAGGTTTCGTTCAGCTTAGAGCACTTCGTGAGGGTTTTCTGGAAGAAGTGTTTGCTGTCAGTAGTGGCCCGCATGACGCAATGATTAGTGCAGGACTTAGGAAGGATTACTTGTGGCCTGACTGGACAAACCTGTCAGATCTGTTCATCTATTCATCTAAAGTATCTAGAATATTAATGGGTAATTAATTCTAGTCTGTGAACTGTTTTCCTACTAACAGAGCTAACTACAGACATACAGCACCATGTAAATGGTCGGTTAATGTGTAAAAAAAAAATTAGATGTACATTAAATTAAACATAAGGAGCAGTTGATGTGGTGCTCGTAACTGATTTCAATTTATCATAGATGCACGAGTGCATCCTAAACCTACTGTGGCTCTTTAAACTCTCTCACCTGAGTGAAAAGCATTTTGATTAACCAAAGTCTCACTTTAGAGATTACATTTGCTAAAGCCCTGAGCCAAGGGGAGGTACAGAAGTGTCCATTCAGAACAACTGATTTACAACACGCTGAAAGGCTAGTGTGGAATTTTTGCCCAATGAGGCCAAAAATGAAAAAAAAAAAAAAACTCACTGCCCATTCCAGTTTTAATGCAGTATTGCTATCATCACCACCACAGCAGGGAATAAAGCAGTAGGGCCAGTGTTACCTGCACGGTATTTGAGCAGCAGGTCCCAAATAGAGCGTCTGGAGTAGGGGTCCACTCCTGATGTGGGCTCATCCAGAATCACCACTTTGGCTCCACCAACGAAAGCCAGAGCCACTGACAGCTTCCTCTGCATGCCCCCTGGATCAGAACACAGAGACGTACACATGGTGCATTTGTTAGCATTTCAGATCAAGTTCATTGTCATGTTGCTGTANACCATCCAATAAGCACGAATGTTACCAGGATCAGTGATTGTCACAATGAATCTGTGATCTAATGGGATTTATCCTGATGATATTCAACAGAATGGAAGAGATGGAACATCGCGACCAACAACGAAGCCAAGGCACCAGGTAACATTTTAATGATCTTACTTGAAGGAACATATTGAACATGTTTAGCTCAACACACAGCAACACATGGATAGTTCAGTGTCTGCTACTTTAATAATGAATCTGTGATCTGATGGGATTTGTCCTGATGATATTCAACAGAATGGGAGAGATGGAACATCGCGACCAACAACAAGACGGCCCATCCAGGTAAGATTTTCCTGATCTTACTTGAAGGAACCACATTAAACATGTTTAGCTCAACACACAATACAACCTGGACGGTTCAGAGTCTGCTACTTTGATAATGAATCTGTCATCTGATGGGATTTCTCTTGATGATATTCAACAGAATGGGAGAGACAGGACATCGCAACCAACAACGAAACCAAGGAACCAGGTAACATTTTCCTGATCTTACATGAAGGAACCACATTGAACATGTTTAGCTCAACACACAGCAACACATGGATGGTTCAGTGTCTGCTACTTTAATAATGAACCTTTCACCTGATGGGATTTATCCTGATGATGTTCAACAGAATGGGAGAGATGGAACATCTATACCAACAA